AATTAAGATTAAGCATCAGTTCAAAACATTATGTTCCCTAAGGACCGCATTACAAAACTTTATTGGTTTAGTATTGGATTATGGGTGAGCTTCCCGAGAATACTGTTTTTATGGGTAGCCACGGAAGATATTTTAGCTGGCTCCTTGAAGACAACAGCAACGGTTCTAGTTGCTTTTACTGTTCCAGATATTTTTAGCAAAGCTGTTGCAAGCCCATGGATTGTGAAGCGAATCTCATTCCTGTCGGCATTCATCKTCTACTCGGTTTTGCTTGTTTCTATTCAAGTTRTWTTCGTATTTGTCAATATTGTCAACGTGAGACTGGCTGGAMTGTGTGTACTTGGATTAGCGAATGGTTTGGGAACGATTACTACCGCGAAGCTATTAGGTTTTTTTCATGAGTGTACTGGAGTGTATCAGAGCGGGTACAACACTGCTGCAGCCTTTGCTTCGATCTCATATACTGGTATGTAGCTCCGGGTTCTCCTTTCTAAGAAAAAAAGGAACACAAGCCACTANATTCTGCCAAGCAATTGTAGAACTTTCCTACATAATGGCTAATGGGACAAAACTCTTCCCTCCACGATGTAATAGTGCTCTTTTACATACATTAAGGAACCTGGATCTTCGAAAACGTTCTTTTAGTTAAAAAATGTTGAGTTTCTGGGAAACAATTTTAGAACTTTTTCCACTCCTGAGAAAAATTGTTTATTTGAAATTTCTATGTGTCAGATTACAAAGGATTTTCTAAATTTCAAGATTTTCAAATTCAAAATACTCGCTTTCAAGAACTCAAGCGGAACGCGCGCGTCAAATTGTATTTATATTTAGCGCGCTCGTTCCGTTTGAGCGCGTGAAAGCGAATATTTTCATTGTGAAAATCGTGTAACCACCAACTCTTGTGCAAACTTTAGGAATTGAAGAGGGTTTTTTTATTGGTACTTTGAGTATAAACTTTGACACAAAATGGGGAAAATTGTTATTTCTGAAATTATAAAAATATGTCTTAGCAAAATTCTTAAATTCATAATTAGGGACTGCGCAAAATCTACCCTTATGTGCTTAAAGAGGGGGCAACGTCTAAAATTTACTGAAAAATCGGAGAAATCAACATTTAAGAGGGTGTAGTAATAGACTTTTTTTGATATTTTGGCTCATTTCTCAACCTCCCTTCCTGATAAATATTGGGCAGTCTCAGAAATCTTAATTAATAAAATGCGCATATGGAATGCACTGAAATAAATACATTTTTTTCTTCATTTCATTTTCAGGATTAACAACATGGGCATGTATATCTCCTCGTATTACCATTGCCATTTTGACTCCACTTTCTCTGCTACCACTCTTGATATATGCGTTGCTGGACAAGAAACGATTGGATGCCAACAAAAACACAACAAAACACATCCCTTTGGGCAATGAAGAAAGCAACATACCACCTGTTACTCACAGTGTAAACAAGAGCGAACGTCCAGGCGTTGGATGGCATATCAAGCACCTATTCAATGAGTTTTATGCCTGTTACATTATTGGCATGAAAGTTTTTCTGATTAAAATCTCGTTCGTTTCCATTCTTTCAACTGTGACATTTAAATCCTCTCCCTTCCCCCCACGGGATCATTTTCAGTATTACGGATTACTGAGTGATCTAGGTATAATGGTCGGAGGAATGGAATTATCACTGGTGTCCTTTTTCTGTCCTGGTTTAATGGATACCATTAAGATTCGTCGTATTTGGATCTTGGTTCTGTTGCTTGTTTGCCACACCCTGGTGTTTCTCTCTGTTTCATGGTTTCACTATATAGACAACGTCTACATAATTTTTATGTTATGCTTTACCCTGGGGGTAGCTGCAGGGTGCGCTTCCGTCCACTGCTATACTTTGGTAGCTGACCTCTTCCCCGATTCCAGGAAACTTGGAAAAGTTCTTGGTTATATTGAAGTGTCTATATCAATTAGTAGGTTGTCAGTTGCATTGTTGGGTATCTTCGTAGAACATTACCTGAGAGAGCACTGCGAACATCGATTGTTGTTGGGTAGT